CCCCATTTAAATCGCTGTCTGTCCATAGCCTCACACAAGCTGCTAGGTCCAAGTTGGGGTCTGAGCCCTCTATCCTTATGCCTGCATGTGCCCCTTGGCCAAGCATGGTGAGCCCCACAGCCTGCAGGGAGATGCTGTGCAAGATGCCTTGAGCGGCAGAGGGGAGGAGTTGTCCCCAACTCCCCACCCATCCTGTCCCCAACCAGCGGACCTCAGAGGCCCGGAGCAACCAGATAACATGCTCAAGGTTGCATGGGTTCGGGGCATGAGCTCCAGAGCTTTCCTGGGGCTCTGGGGAAAGGAGGAGCTTGTCTTGCAGGACTCGTGCCCCTTGCTAGGGTCCGTGGGTATCGGCTCCCCCTGTGCTGGCCCTGGCAGGCTGCCCTGGCATCCAGGCGAGGAGAAACACGGGCGGGGAGAAACACGGGCTGGCAGAGGCCCCAGTTCAGCACGCTGGCAGGGCTGTAAAGGAGGGTGCAGCAATGTGGGCATAAGAGAGCAGGCCCCCGCGACAGCCAAGAGGGAGGGATGTCTGCCGGCCAGGACTGCCGAGGGGATGAGCTCACGGTCATTGGAGATGCCCTGTCCTGTGGGCACTGCCAGCTCCAGAGCTGCCCCCATCCCAGCTGCAGGAGTTGCAAGTGCCAAGCCAAGCCCCATAAAGCAGCACTGGGCTGGCCAGGACCAGCTGCATGTTGCACCCATGGGAAAAACACCCAACAGTACAGAGCTGCTGGGATATCCTCCATCGCTGCCTGGGGGAGACTGTACCCCCATCACACTGTCCTTTCAGCCTTTTTGCCCTCTGCCATGCTCTGTCATTTGGAGCTGAGCCGTACTTGGCTAAACAAGACGCTTCTCAGGACTTTCACAAGCCCTCGGCGGCTTGGCTTACCTAGTGCCGTGCTTATTGCAGAGGCACGGATGCAGCCTGGGGAGGGGGTGAGACACAGGACGGGGGCAAGCTACAGGGCTAGTAGCAGTTGACCTGCCTGCCACCCAGCAAGGAGAATGGGGTCAAGGCTAGCAAAGCGTGCCTCGACTTCGGGACACGGAGGGATGAGGATGAGAGCTGCCTTAGCATTCACTGTGTAATGTCAAAGGGCTTGGACGGGAGTCGCAGGGGCTGAGGCGGGGTGGGAACGTACTGCATCTCAGCTATTCCTGCTCTCTCCATCTGCATGTTTTTACCTAAGGGTGAAGTTGAAATCGTTTACGGCCCCTGGCGCTGAGGGGTGAGCGACCTCACGTTCATGGCAGGGTAGACACGAACCCCAGAAGAGCTGACGGGCAGCAAAGCCCACCTTAGTGTCCGGCACAGCATCTTTCTCATGCCACCTGTGACCAGACCCTCAGTCAGTCACTCTCCTGGTTTCAAAGGGGAATCCATTCATTTCCATATGGATTGGCTTTCCAAGCAGGTCAAAGGGTTTCAGAGGCTGGGTGCAGATTTTAATGCGGTTGTTATAATCCAAGGTGCCGACGAGTTATTTGCAACAAGGCCTTCTCGTCCAGAAAAGTTCTTGGCCCTTTAGGGTCCAAAGGTGAAGGTCATTCTCACGATGTCCTTCTGCTACAGCATCATGTCAAGCTCAACCCCACGTCCTCTTCTGTGGTATAAATGAGAACGGGGCAATAGCGCAGCGCACGTTGTTTTCTCACGGCCAGATCCCCAGAGCCCTGCGTTTACGGAGAGCCCCGCTGAAGAGGTTTCATGCAACATTTCACCCTCCCTCCCCCCCCAATTAGACGCGTACCGTGTGGTCTGTGAATCACACACACACAGCAAGTAGGAATGAGCAAAACGTGAGCAATTGGGGTAAGATGTATGGATGCCTGCATGAAAGCTGGATTGTGGCGGTGATATGCTTCCAATTTAGATGCCGTTGCAAAAAAAGCAACCCATTAATGCCGGTTAGTTCAGTGCACAAGAGAGCAGAAGCCTGGGTGGCATTTTCCGGGAAATGTTGTGTTCACGTTCGTTTCTGAACGCTCCCTAATTCAGCTGTGAGATGTGCGAGGCCACAGGTGACAGCTGCGGGTGGCACGTGGGCACTCCTATGTCCGTGCTCGAGCTCGCAGCTCCGGGCAAGGAGCACGCAGCTGAGAGACTGGCACAGACCTGGCACCGTAGTGTTTCGTCCTGGGGCTGGTCTCCCAGCACAGATCAGAGCAGTCTCCAAATTGCTCTGGATTATTCTGGGAGCTAGAAAGGGGCCATCCACTCCTAAGCTGTGGCAATGGGCACCGTATAGACATCGTAACCCTGATTTGGAAGCAGCGTCACAAACCCCAGAGCAAACTGCACGTGTCGGCTGTACAGCATCTCCCAAGGAAAGCCCAAGCCCATTGCGCTGGAGTCCTCGTTACTACAGCTGCCATAGGAAAACAGCTCTTTTATGCAGACTCAGCAGCAGCTATGGTATTTTCCAAAGAGGGCTTGGCTTTCCACAAGTGCCAGTGGGGCTTTCATGCTGAGAATTTGTTTTCAGCTTAGCTTAAAAAAAACACAAAGGAAATATAAAATCAGGCACACTTGGCCCTAAACCCGCTGTGCTATGCATCAGACTCAATAAAGGCTGAAAAAACGCAGCAGTGTAACGCCGTGAGATGATGTGCGCTTCGTCGGCGTGGAAGCACGCGGGAGGGGTATTCAACAGCGAGAGCGTTAGCGTTTACTGGCACTTGACTATTGTATTAAATAGTGAGAGTGTTAGCTTTTAGCTTTATCTAACTGGTTTATTAAATAGTTACAATAAGAGAACACAATAATGCTGCTAGCCCAGGTTCCCAACCGCTGACGTGAGTCTGAAGTCCCAGGCCTGGGCTCCCAGCTTAATCTCCCCCAAAGATACAGCTGAAGGGAGCGGGGGGATGATTTTGGGAAATGCATCTCCTGCATTAGACACGCTCCCAGCTCGAGGAGCAAAGAGAACCGAAGCTCATGCGATTGATTTACCCCGTTAGAAAAGGGCAGGATCCATGAGCACATTCCACGCTTCCCTTGCTATAATTTCTACCAGATCCTGGAGCCTTTCTGTAACTACTTACACGCCAGACAGTAGGGCATGGAAAACACCCTCTTTACTATTTAGTATGATTTATGGCAGTGCTTGTTTTCATTTTAACAGAGGAATAAATGCCAGGAAACCCTTTCCCTCCCCCTCCCCACCCCAGAAGAATGGAGAGCTGAAAAAAATGGTACTTGAGTATATTAGACTCTTTTCAGGTAGCTTTTAAGGGTGGTTTTAGCCTAGTGCATTATGCATGTGCATCAATAAATACACCTCTCCGGGAACGTATTATGGATACAGCGCTACACACTGCACAGGAGAGGTGTCTATACTGTAGTCTGCGAGCCGCTGCTGATCACAGCACGTTGGCTCCTTCCCCCCAGTTTCCAGCTGATAAATACCTATTTGATGCATTTATATAGATTTACAATACATAAAATACAGCCCTTCCGGGCCATAGGGGCCTGTGCTATGTGTTAAAAATACAAGAATGATGATATGAAGGAGGAAAAATCCCACAGCAGCCCTAAACTCCAAAAGAAAAATCATCTGAAAAGCCAATAAAACACAAGTCCTGCTTTCATTTTGCTGGGGGAAAGTGCCCATGAGTCAGACTCTCTCATGGGGAGACCCAGTGCTGTGTGGGCAGGGTATAGGCAGCTCTCCACCCACCCGCATGCCCACTAACAGCTCTAGCCCCAGAGCTGCTGTAGCTTTGGGCTCTCTTTACCATGTATATATATTGCCAGGAGCAAGTCCCCAGATGCCAGCGCTGCAGGCTCGGTGCATGGAGAAGGTGAACTTATTGCTCTCGAATAAGCAGCTACACAGCGTGTACAAGCGCCCCAAGTCTTAGGCCCAGCAGACTTCACCCGTGAAGTTTGCTCCTCCCTGGCAGCTCATCTGCCCTCCCAGTCCGGAGCTCGTGTCGCCATGAGAGGGGAGGCTGGTGCAGCTCTGGGGAGGGGGGGGCGGATACAAGAGCCCTCTCGTTTCTGACGGCGCGTTTCCATCCTACCTGGCTGGCTGAGGCATGACCCATTCTCGTTCGCTGTCACGGCAGGGCTTCGAGTCTGGACTACTATGAAATCAAGTCGAACAGCTCGCTGGAGAGATACGACAGCATCGGCCCTCCTTTTAATTGCACGTTCAAGGTGAGTCGTACGGACAGGAACCGCTGCACATCTCGTCAGCTGGCACGTGCGCGGCCTGGGCCCAGACTCCTGCCCCGCTCCGGGCTGATCTTTATCCCTCCCTTCCCTTCCACATCTCCCTCCCAAGCAGTTCTGCCCCGTGAGTTTCCCCTGGCGGGACTTTGGATGCATGTCCTCGCTGAAGGGCAGCAACGGTTGAGTTGAGGAGTCAGGAAATGGTGGGAATTATTTCACCCCCGCCCTCCTGGGACTGTGCTGCTCCACCAAGGACCCAAAACCTCTACCCAGAGAGGCAAGGAGCCCGAAGTGCGACAGGTTGCATGGTCACCCCTGGGCAGCAGGTGGTCTCTGCACCATCTAACCACCTTCGAATTGCTCCCAACACATCTCCAGTCAGTTGGTTACCGAATAAAAGGCATGGGGGGGGATCCATCGCACAACAAACTCCCCCAACTTATTCCAAAGAGGGACCTGGCAGCAAAAACCCTGCTCCCTCTCCAGTGCAAACACCGAAATGTTGCCTTACAACAATATGCCTTCCATTTTCCAGTTGCAGAACCTGGGCTTCTTCCCGGTCGACGAGGTGACCATTAAAATTACAGTCCCGGTAGCCACGAGAGGAGGGAATCGCCTGTTGCTGCTGACCGATTTCATCGTGGATCAGGTAGCAGTTTGCTTCCTTTCCCCGTCATGTCGAACCATGCAGTCGCTTGAAATAATATTTCCCTTATCGAGGCTGTCCTCTGAGCTTGACCCACTTCTGCTCAGGGCCTAAGCTAGGATTTGCAGCAGACGCTAAGCCCACGGGCCGGTCCTCCTTCCCGGGGCACGGGAACGTCACATGCCCTGAAAAGTGGGTCGACGGCACTCCGGGTGACACTTTCTTTCCATCCATAAAGCGCCCGCCAGCTTTAATAGTCATCTTCTCACCTATCTGGACTCCGTTCAGCTCTTGCAGATGCCCGGAGAGTCCTTCCTTCTTCCAGCCGCGTTCCTTTGGCTGGAAACGTGGAAAATGGTAGCAGCCAGCAACTTCGGCCAAGTATTTCTAAGAACGAACCTCCTGGCTGCGTTTAATGAGTTCTTGAAATAATTATGCTTCGACTGGGGTGTCGGCTGGAGTCTGAGACTCCCGAGTGGTGAGCGAGTTCAGGGAGAGACCGATAGCTATCTCGGTATCCTATCCCCTCCACAGTGGCACATTCTTCACATAGCATCCAATATAAGGCAGCCTTGCGTAAGAGGGACCGTGTCCATGGCTATTTTGGCCTGGACACGTGTTGTTTTTGTAGGCCACGGCTCTGGCAGGCTCCCCGCGTCACCGGTGACAAGGATGCTCTCCACGCGGGCCAGGAGGACCTCGCCGGGGGAATGCACTCCTGACAAAAACACATGAATTCATCTTCCCCGTCCAGTCTCTGGACCCCCGCTCCCGCCCCCTCGGGAGGAATTTGCTCGGTAGTGAAGAAAAACACCCCGCGATCCATGACAGACGGGTCAAATTGAATTCAACAGCACTTCCAGCTCGAGCTCCCCCAGGAGAATAGCCATCTGCGGTGGTAAACCTGTCTCCTGCCGTGGAAGAGTGACTGGCAATAAGTCTGGAAAGCTTGTTAAGCGAGGAGACCTCGCATAACGATACTAAGCGCATTCCTTGAAAAAAAAACGAATCGCCGGTCGCGAAGGCCACACACAGCGCCCGTTATAACCTCTGTTTCAGACCCTCAAGGCCAACCACAAAAACCAGCAACGGCAGTTGTGGGGGTACGCTGCGAGAGCAAAATACGCCCAGAGAATGCCTGTAGGCAGAGAAACCCGATAACGTGCACAAGCGCCCTTTTTGATTTCAGGGCAATTGTGTTCTCCCCCGCTGAATATCTGCCACCTCTTGGGCCGTGATGCTCAACCCACAGCCCTGAATACATCGTGGGGGGTTACGCAGGAGCTGCAGTTAGAGACTAGTCCCTTAATCTGCTGATGCATTCAGAGGTGAGCAGCTAAAGCTCTGGACTTCATGAGCGGATGCTTCTCCAGGCTTTAGCATTGCACCCGTGCCAGTTCAGGAGAAAGGGGCTGGAAGAGAGTTTCTGGGTTGAGAATGAAACGTTCAGTGATGCTTACGGCTACGGACCTGGGCTTTAGCCCTGCATAGAGGAAAAGTACCATGAAGGACAGACCTGACGGGACAGGTAGAAGAGGTTTCTGGCCACGAGCTCAGTGAGGGTCTGGGATATCAAGGCAAACAACAAGCTGGGTCTAAACTGGAACGTGATGCAGGTGTGGAAGGGATGGTATAACGGGATTGCTTACCAGGGTCTGGAGTAAGGATCCCACGAGGTCCTGCGTAGGCTCGGCGTGAGTTTTTCCCATGACGGTGCTCTGAACTCTGTTGTTTTTGCTCCCTGAAGGCAAATACGACGTGCAACGTCTGGGGGAACAACACCGACTACAGGAGCACGCCCACCGAGGAGGACCTGTTCCGCACCCCACAGCTGGTACACAGCGCGCACCTCCTTGTGCCTCCGCCTCCGCCGCACTCCCGCCTCCGAGAGTTGCACCTGGGACCAGAGAGTTGGGGGGGGGGTGGATGATGAAACCCCACTGCAGGCATCCTTGCTGCGAGCGTGTGTGTGTGCATGCGTGTGTGCGTGCAGGCAAGTCACTTTACAGAAAGAGAGAGAGTGAGAGTGTGTGTGTGTGTGTGTGTGTGTGTGTGTGTGTGTGTGTGTTAGGCCTGTGCAAAGGCGGCTAGTATTCACTTTGGAGTCGGCTGATTCGGGGGACAATGATTCAATTCGATGATTCGAATCACTGTCTGGAATCGATTCGGCCGAGTCTGATTCGGTGATTCGGCTGCTGCCAAATCAGCTGAATCTCCGAATCAGGCAGGCCAGGCTCATGCCCCACCTGCTCTCCCAGCCCGATGCCCGCTACCTGCCACTGCCCTGCACTGCGTGGGGGGCTTCCATGAGCCTCTCAAAGCCCCGGGTCTGCTGCAAGAGCTTTGCGTTGGGGAGGGAGGGATGTGT